TGGGATAAACAGCACATAAGCAGTGGAATTAGTGGCAGTTTGCTGGGAGTTTGCTGATGTTTTTAGCCCTCACTTAGGGAAATATAAAGGTCCTCCCGTATCTCTTCAGCTTGATCCTGCCATAACTCCAATAAGAATCAAGCCGCATAGAGTGCCCTTGACCCTCAAGCAGAAGATTGATGCAGAGCTGGACAAGCTGGTGTAGCAAGGCATCCTACAGCCAGTTGATAGCAGTCAATGGGAAACCCCCATAGTTACGCCACTTAAGGCCAATGGAGAGCTGTGAATATGTGCAGACTACAAGTGCACTATCAATACAGCACTCCAACAATACGCATATCCGGTGCCACATTTTGGCATCACTACAGGGAGGTCGCATCTTTGCCAAGTTAGATTTGGCTCAAGCCTATGAACAACTGCCGGTGGGTGATGCCACAGCAGAAGCTCAAACCATAGTTACTCACAGGGGAGCTTTCAAGGTTAAGGCAACACTGACCCCTACAATTTGGGGTCAGTGTTGCCCAGGCCTTTCCAGGGACAACTCTTCCTCATTGTGGTAGACCAGTGGTTCTCAACCTTCCTAATGCCGCGACCCTTTAATACAGTTCCTCATGTTGTGGTGACCCCCAACCATAAAATTATTTTCATTGCTACTTCATAACTGTAATTTTGCTACTTTTATGAATCGTAATGTAAATATCTGATATGCAGGATGTATTTTCATTGTTACAAATTGAACATAATTAAAGCATTATATGTAATTATATATTGTGAAATATTTATTTCTAATTACAAATAAATGAAATTTTGTCTTGAAGCATGGTGTAGCATGAGTAACAGTCTTAATATAACAACAGTAAACTACATTGCTACATTTTGCAACAGTATGCATAAAAAGCCAACGTCAGTGCGAAGGTTGAGATTGCTTCTTTCTCACCAGATCAGAAATTCTCGGGGCAGTCTTTGCAAGAGCACAACGAAGATCATTTTCCACAACAAGTTTACTTCTGTATTTAGACTTGATAACCAACAAGCTAGAAAACCTTGTTTCACAAAGATATGTTGTTGGAAATGGAATGCTCCTTGCTTTGGAAAATAAATTGACCCTTTCTTCTGTGGCAGCCCATCGAATACTAGAATACTGCTATCATTTCTCTAGACTAGCCAAACCCAAATTCTGCAATTAAGTCTCAACAACTTTTTTGAAGTGTGATGACCAAAATTGGATGCAGTATTTCAGGTGTGGTCCCGACTCAGAAAATTCAGACACCAGTCTTGCCAGCCCTCTCTTGCAGACCTGGTGGGGAATAGGTGGGGTGGCTACCACTTTCCACCTTGTGCTGAACAAAGGATCCTGGGATGTATTTTAAGGAAAGGACGGGTCAAAAGAACAGAAAAAGAGGAGGGGGAGTTTGATGCTGTTACCTTAGTATCCACAGTGGGCCCCTCCCAATAGCCGTTTCGCTCTTTGGAATGACTCAAAGCGGGTTCGGCCGGCTTCACATACGAAAGCTGATTCTTTTTGCTCATGATCAAGGATTGAAGAGACAGCAGCTCCAATCACTTATCCATTTTGCTTCCGCACATGTCATGTGGGAGGAGCTGCTCTCAGTGACTTCCTTTCCCTGCTTGTCATCGGTTGCATCCATCTTGGCTTCAGGGCAGGAGCTTCGGCTGCCCGGGTGCCTAATTTAAAGAGGGAGCCACTTCAGTGCTAAATGGAGACAGAACTGAAGGGGTGGAAAGAAGAGGATGGTGTCCGAGAGCACCAAGGTCAGGTGGGTAAGAGAGGATGACTAGTGGGAAGCTAAAATGGGTCTACATTGCTTTCTACACAGTAGCTGCTCTCTACACATGTGTAACTGGTCCACATAAGTACACCCACCTGGAGACAGATAGAGGAGCAGTGTCTCAGTTCCTAAGACCATCGGAAATATGTGTTTTCTGATGGTCTTAGGCGACCCCTGTGAAAGGGTCATTCGACCCCCAAAGGGGTCATAACCCACAGGTTGAGAACCGCTGTAGTAGACAGTCACTCCAAGTAGTTAGAGGTCACATCTGTTCCACTATGACTACTGACAGGACCATCCAAGAGCTGCGCAGGATCTTTGCCACACATGGGTTATCTGATGTAATTGTCTCTGACAATGGGGCTCAATTTACTGCATCAGAATTTCAGTCCTTTTTAAGGGCAAATATGATCAGACATGCCACATCAGCCCCTTTTCACCTGGCTTCAAATGGCCAAGCGGAGTACATGGTCCGAACAACAAAGGAATCCTTAAAGCAGATAGTCACAGGTAACCGGCAACACAGACTGGCAGATTTCCTACTCTGCCAAAGTACAACCCCATGCACTTTCACAGGCAGAAGCCCAGCAGAATTAAGATGGGGCAGGTGTTTGATCACAAAGCTGGATCGCTTACATCTAGATAGAGTTGCCTCACAAGCAATACAGCCAAAGGCACCATGGCACTTGCAAGTTGGTGACCTGGTCTGGACGAGGGGCATTGTGGGTGGTAGCAGTGGTTTGTAGGGCGACTGGGCCACTTTCATACAAAGTGGTCCTGGAAGACGGTCGAGTGCTACACAGGCACATCGACCAACTGCAGCGGAGGTTGGCAAACAAGCCAGTAACTCATGACTCTAGTGACAGTCAAACTCAGGAGCAGCACAATTGCAGTAGTGCATCAGATTCTGACAGTGAGAGCGAAGCTCTCAGACTAAGGGACAAGACTCAAGCATCTGGTGAGTCAGTCCCAACCACTGATACACAACCAATGGACAATGCCCAGGACCTGTGGACTCTGTTCCACCTATGGACACTGGCTCAGGCCTACCAGGACAGTCCAGCCACAGAGACTTGAGTGTACCAGTGATGGATGGTCCTATAGCCCCAGTCTTCCAAGCTTGGCAGTTGAGCTGATAGACTGGGGGCCTCCAGCAGTTCTGAGGTGTTTGGAACAGGAAAAAAGGCCACCAATGTATTTGAGGGAATATGTTTAACAAATGTCCTTATGAACTATCTAGGGAAAAGGGGTGTAATGTATTAAGGTGAATTACTTGTGAATATTGAAAAAAATGGTCATAAGACTCTGTCAGTTAAAAGCCAGACTTTCTGTCTCCATGCTAATTACTTGTGGGAACAATACTTGAATCCTATTGGCCACCGCCTAGTGGCTGAGGTTATATAAAGGGGTGGAGTGGCAGTTATCCAAGCCAAGCCATCTTGAGATCATCAAGAGTTTAGGAGACAAAATCTAGCCAACCTATTAAAGGAGGCTTCAAATGCCACGAAAGGCTGTCTTCCACATTGCTTTTACATATAAATGTGAGACTTTAGGGCAGTGATGGCAAACCTTTTAGAGAGCAAGTGCCCAAATTGAAACCCAAAACCCACTTATGTATCATCGGGTGCCGGGTGGCCCATTGGGTGGGTGTGGCTGCGGTGGTAACAGCAGACTGGGTGGGACTAAAAAGTTCAATCAATCAATTCCAGCTTTGCAAGATCATTTTTTTCCCGCAAGAAGTTGAAATTGATTGATTGATTAAACTTTTCTTTGTACATGGCCTAAAGTGAAAAGATTTTATAAAGCATAGCTGAAGGACTAGGACTGGGGCGATGATGCACATGCCCACAGAGAGGGCTCTGTGTACCACCTGTGGCATGCATGACATAGGTTCACCACCACGGCTTTAGGGCATGTATAACATAATTGGCATTTGAATTACAATTCTGCTATAATGCTTTGTCAATGTGACTAACCTTGCCTCTACCTATGGACACTGCTGCCTTTTTCCCCATCTGTTTAGTAGTGCGTATGTTTCCTATACCTCCTTATAGATGCTCTGCCTTCCCAAATGGGATGTTCAGATTTTTCTTCATTTTCCAAATATTTTTGTCTTCATTCCAATCAAAGCTGCGAAACCACCAGAACAAGGGTTGGTCATTCTATAGTCTGCCTCTAGGAATCTTATCATTATTGTGCTTTACTAGATTTTTTTTAAAGTTTTACGCTTAAATTTGTCATCATTGCAAATATTCTTCACTTGAATGAAAGATGCTGAAATATTAAAACAATTGAAATCTATTCCTTTATGTTTTGCCACATGGGCTGTGGATGGGTTCTTCTGGGGAAGTGTTACAGCTGCAGGAATTTCCTGCAGGTAATTTACTATACCTAGCTGCAGGGAACAATTTATTACAAGAAACAGATTATTTTACAATACAATTGTAGACATGCACACTTATTCTCTAAAACATATATCCATATGACTCTGTTTCTAAATCTTATTGGCTATATTTCTTCTGGGTGTTTCCTTATTGATTTCTATGGATTTACTTTATTACTTATTCTTAGTATTTTATAGGTCTCAATGGGCTTACAATCATTGAGCCTTGCTTGTATTTGCAGTTTTCTCAGGCATCCAAATGTACCCTACAAAGGGGTGTGGATTGGTATACTATAATAAACTATCATTTTGTTCATTTGCACTCCCACTACAAATATGATTTCTATGGTTTTATTGTGCACTTTATTCTATTAGCATTCAATTAGGTTTCTACGGGTTTGGTGATACTTCTTTTTTGCCTTTCCCCTTTTTAATTTGCAGAAAGGCTTACATTTTCCACCCCTGCACTAATGTTGTGTTCTTACCTAGTTCAGTTCAAACTCTTTCCTCAGCCCTAGCATGCAGAATAAAGAGTGGAATTATTTAAAAGTCAGAGGTGAAATAGTATCCCAAGTGATGCAACTCGCTTCAGGGAGATCTTCTCATTTGGTGCAAGTTTCACCTCTCACAGTTTGCATTGCTGATATGATTGCAGTCCCAATTCTCTTAACAACATTTTAAGACATTATTATGTAATTTGTTGTTATTAGGCTATAGTATTGTTAATAGTCAGTTATGTTAATAAACACTCAGAAATGCATTTTACTTTGGTGTTATTTTACAAGACTCTTGAGGGAAACAAAACAAATATTAATATACATTCAGAATAGGAACAGTGAAGTAAGTGCAGATAGTTATTTCAGTACATGAAAATTATGGGGAAAGTGTTTAATATTTAATTTATTTAATACTCTTGAAAGCATATAATAGAAAACTCAATCTATGGAAATAAATAGTAAGTCATTTACAAATTGAAAACTTAATAGAAAAGGCATTTCCCTCTTTTCTGGAATAAATTGGTGTTTATTGAATTATATCTGATTTGTTATAACTCAGGCTTGGCTTTATAACTTTTCCACTGTGAAGAGAATTGAATCAAATGATTGCATAAGGTAGTGTTCTGATATAATGGAATACGAAGCTAGATTCTTTTGGAAGAGACTGGTTTTTTAAATATTATTTTTACAAAATATGACCTTAGTATATTTAAAAATAAATATCAATCAGAATCTAATTTCAAGAAATTTCAGTGTAGATATTAATGGTAATTTTTCAGTTACAATTTGCAAAAATTTAGATCAAACCTCTATGCATGTAAATGAATTTTGAAATAAAATTGATTGAATGGTTGAAGAGATCACTAATAAGTAAATTAGCATGAACAAAGTAATTTTGCAATCTCTCTGGAATAAATGAAGGAAATAGATGGTAACATTTCTAAATTTTTTGTTGTTGTTGCTGTTTCATTTATGCATTTAAGTATTGTTGAATATATGGATCCATATTGTAAAAATGCTGAAAAAATGTCAGAGATCATAGGCTGTGTCGCATTTCTTGCCTAAATACTCCTGGAAGTAGGATAATCATGTATAAAATCACCAAGAGAATATCAAAACACCATTTACATTTTAAGTGAATTCTCTTACTTCTTCTAAATCATACATTAAATACATATGTAGAAATCTCATATTTATATATTATTTTAAGGGATTTTTATGCTATGTTTTTAGCTTAAGCGCTGCTAGGGCAGCTGAGGAAAAAACCATTTCTAGTTGTATGTCACATAAACAAATACACACAGCCATACACACACACATTTGCAAATTTATAATTTTTGCTCTCAGGATTTCTGAGTAAAGGATACAGCAATTTATTTTTGTATTGTTTCGCTAGATTTACATTGTCTTTCGTCTAGAAACATAGGGCACCATGCAAAGCACATCCTCCAATTTTCCAACACTACCACAATTCTTTACAAGTGGCGAGAGATTTTGACTGTTCCAAATATTTCATGGTTGAAAGTGGACTTGAGCAGGGTTTTCTGAATCCTAGACAATTATGTTGATCAGCATATGAATTAATAGAACTGGAAAGAGGAAAGAAGGAAAAATGTGAAGTTTATGGATTTTCTTTTTTTTTTTCTTTAGTCTTTCCCACAGTTTTCCCCCCACCATGGTTTGATTCTATGTTTATTTATCCATGCTTTACTTTTCATTTTGTTTTTTGTTCTCAACATATTTCAAACTCTCACTTCCCAAAATTTTATCTAACTGCTTCTTCCTATGCTTCCTTGCAGTTATGGCATGCAGCATTTGTGATAATTGAAAGATGGATAATCAAACTACAATGCCTTACTTTTTGCTCCTGGAATTCTCAACTGCTCGGCAACTACAATTGCTATATTCCTTCTTCTTCTTTGTGTTATACCTGGCAATTACAACAGCAAATCTTCTCATCATTGCTGCTATAACTTTTGATCAGCAACTGCACAGACCCATGTATTTCTTTCTGATGAATTTAGCTCTGCAAGATGTAGGGTCTGTTTCTGTCATTGTCCCCAAATCCATGATAAATTCCCTCATGGACACCAGACACATCTCTTACTTTGGCTGCATCATTCAGGTTTTTCTCTTTGTGTCCTTTCTGGGTTCTAGTTTATCTCTTCTGACAGTCATGGCATATGATCGGTATGTTGCCATTTGCCATCCATTGCACTATGAGATGATGATGAATTGGAAAGTCTGCACTGAAATGATGATTCTGGTTTGGTTTGCAGGTCTTCTCTATGGAACATTGCATACCACTGGCACTTTTTCCATTCCTTTCTGTTCTAATGTTGTCAACCAATTCTTCTGTGAAATTCCTCACTTGCTAAAATTATCCTGCACTGGCTTCAATCTTCTTGAAATTGGAGTTCTTGTGACTAGTGCTGCAGCAGCACTAGGCTGTTGTACTTTTATTATTGTATCTTATGCAGTGATATTCAAGGCAGTGCTAAGAATCCCTTCTGAACAAGGAAGGCAGAAAGCCTTATCTACATGTATTCCCCATCTTACAGTGGTGTTTATGTTTTTTTTAACCGGATGCTTTGCCAATCTGGGACCTACATCTGACACTCCATCTTACTTAAATTTTGGATTGACTCTTATGTATTCCATTCTTCCACCTCTGTTCAATCCAATCATGTATAGCATGAGAAATAAGAATATCAGGTTTGTTCTTTCTAAAGTTTGGAGATTATGAAAAATATTTTAATGATTTTTTTTATATTCTATTCACCACATTGTACATTCTCCTGTCTTTTTTTTCCACTTCTCTTTAGAACGGAATAAGTTAGAAAGGGAGACATAGCTGAAATAGGGATAAATCCAACCTCACAAACCAGAAGAATAGTAGAATTTCCCTCATTAGTGCTAATACATTTCACAGATGCTAAATGTGGATGTTGGACAGCTGTGGCTTGCCAGAAACTGAGAATACATGATCTTTAGTGAAGTGATAATCAGGGTATAAAATGGTTTCCCCTGGTTTCCTCTTTAATAGTGGCCCATAATATGACATGTTAAATCTTTATTCTTTCCAACAATATACAGGTCTCTATAATCCTTTTTCCTTAAATGGTCATTTGCTCACAGATTTTGATACTGTTAAGACAGTCTTAACTGGAAAAGTCCTGCATTTTTGTTGGTTAGGTTTTTCAGAAGTGATTTGCTATTTTCTCTTTCCTAGGAGGAGAGAAAGAGAGAGAGAGAGAGAGAGAGAGAGAGAGAGAGAGAGAGAGAGAGAGAGAGAGAGAGAGAGAGAGAGAGAGAGAGAGAGAGAGAGAGAGAGATTGTCCCATAGTCACCCAGCTGACTTTATTAATAAGGTGGACTCGAATTTCCAATTTCCTGATTTCTAGCCTGAGGCCTTAACCATTATTACAAATTGCTTTACAAACTTGCTTTAGATCCTGGTATTATTTCTATCCTTTAGAATTCTTTGGCCAAACCAGATACTGGTACTATCTCACAAAAGCTTTTAATAACTAAAGAAATGAAAAAACCAAGAATGTAAATAGGATGATGCATCATTGTAACAGAATGTTATATCAGGCTTCAGGAATCTCACAACTTGAGATGGGTAAGGTGTGCGTCATCAGTGGAAGTCTTGTGATGGGGAGGTTACATCAGGTGAGGGACATTGGGAGGTGAAGTGCTGGTAGAGAGGGCTTGCATAGCTTGGTTGTGGGTCGATGCTATCTCTGGTTAGCTGTGTGGTTGATTGGATTCTGTGGGGTGTGGAGGCTGGTTGTAGGTCAATGTATCTGTTGATGGAATTGCTTGTGGAGTGCCAGGCTTTAATGAACTCACAAGTGTGGCATGTGGTAGTGTGGCCAATGATATTTTGTTGCTCCAATTGAACTGGTGCTGGGATCATGGTGTTTAACAGTCAGCTGGTATTTGTGGTTCCTGGTTTTTAACTGATGTGATGTTTGTCCCATGTAGAACTGGTTGCAATTATTACAGTTGATTTTATAGATTATATTGTTTCTTTCATCCTTCTGTATCTTGTCTTTGGTTCTTGATAATTCCTGGTGGAGTGTGACTGTGGGTTTGTGGGTTTGTGGGCTATTGCTATTCCTAGGGGTTGGATAATTCTATTTGTCATTTCTGAAACCCCTTTTGTGTATGCTCTTTTGTCCTAAATAGAGTTTCTCTATACTCTTTTTTCTAAGTAGATTTCCAGTGAGAGTTAAACAATTTAACAATAAAGCACATGGTGATTGTACTCTTTGTTTGCTCTGTGGTTCTATATATATATAAAAAGAATTTCTAACACTTTTCTTCCTATTCCCTTTCTACTTTACTGAAAAGTTTGACTTTTCCACCTTATGTTAATGATCTCGGCTTAACTAACCCAGTTAGTTATACCCAGTTAGTTAACCAATCAGAAGAAATAGATGAACTTTTTGCCAACCAGATAATGAATGTGTATAGGAAGCATATCACGATAGTAATGGGAGACTTTAGCTACCCAGATATCAACTGGGAGACAAACTCTGCAGCAATCAAGTAGATTCCTAACCAACCAAGGTGACAACTTTATTATCCAAAAAGTAGAGGAGAGAACTAGAAGAAAAACTATACTGGACCTAATTCTTACTAATAGAGAAGAAGTGATAGAGGAAGTTGAAGTTGCCGGAATCTTGGATGAAACTGAGCCTCTCATACTAGAATTAAGTATAATGCAAATACAAGCAATAGAACATAATCCAACCAGTGTCTTAAACTTTAAAAGAGCTGATTTTAATAAACTCAGAGACAGCCTAGGAAAGATTCCATGGATGAAAATCCTAAAGAAGAAAACAACTTGGGAAGCATGGGAAACTCTGCAAAAATATAATCATAATGTCACAATATCACTGAAAAAGAAAAATAAGAAATTCAAGAAGAAACCAGAATAGTTGTACAAAGATCTCTCTGATAAATTGAAAGACAAAAATGACAAGTACAAAAAATAACCAAGGCAGAATATCAGCAGATAGTCAGAATCTACAAAGATGAAATCAGGAAAGCAAAGGTTCAGAATGAATAAAGACTTGCAACAAAAATCATAGATAATAAAAAAAAGTTTCTTTCAACATATCAATAACAACAAAAAAATCAAGGAAAAGTTGGTCCACTAAAAAGAGAAGATGGCAAGGAAGTAACAGGCAGTAGAGAGAAAGCAGAGCTGCTTAATTCATTCTTTCCATCAGTCTTCACCCAAAAAGAAACTATAGCCCAACCTACCAAAAACATAACTATAAAAACCAGATTAGAAATAAAAATTAAAATAAGCAAGAAAATGGTAAGAGAACACCTATTTAATTTTGATGAATATAAATCACTGGGACCTGACAAATTACAAACCAGAGTTGTGAAGTTGCTGATAGATATTATCTCAGAACTATTCTACCATATTTCAAAGATCCTGGAGCACCATGGAAATACCTGAGGATTGGAAAAGGGCTGATGTGGTTCCTATCTTCAAGAAAGGGAAAAAAAAGCAGACCCAGGAAACTACAGACCAATCAGCCTAACATCAGTCCCTAGGAAGATCCTGGAAAAGATAATAAAAATACAGATTTGCAAACATCTAGAAACAAATAAAGTTATAACTAGTAGTGAGAACAGGTTTGTTAAAAAGATATCATGCCAAACCAATCTTATTTCATTCTTTGATAAAGTGACTAAATTAGTACACCAGTGAAATGCTGTGGTCATAGTATACTTAGATTTCAGTAAGGCATTTGACAAAGTATACCACAACTTGCTTCTTGATAAGCTAGAAAAATGTGGAATAGACAACATTGCCACCAGATCGATTTATAGCTGGCTGGCAACTTGTACTCAATGAATAGTCTTTAATGATACTACATCTACAAGGAGGGAAGTAAGCAGTGGAGTACCATAAAATTCTGTCTTAGGCCCAGTACTCTTCAAAATCTTCATCAATAACTTAGATGAGGGAATAGAAGGGGAACTCATCAAATTTGCAGATGACACTAAACTGGCAGGAATAGCCAACATCCCAGAAGACAAACTCAGGATCCAAAAAGATCTTGACAAACTTGAACAATATGCCCTATCCAACAAAATGAATTTTAATGTAGAGAAAAGCAAATATTTACATTCAGGCAGGGAAAACCAAAGGCATAAGTACATACTGTATTAGGTGAGATCTGGCTCAAAAACAGTAACCGTGAGAGGGACCTTGGAGTCCTAGTGGATGATCTCAGGGAATATAAGCCAGCAGTGTGCAGCAGCAGCCAAAAACGTTAATACAATCCTGGGTTGTATAAACAGAGGCATAGAATCAAAATCACATGAAGTATTAGTATCACTTTTATAAAACCTTAGTAAGACCACACCTGGAATACTGCAACCTATTTTGATCACCACACTACAAAAAAGATGTTGAGACTTTGGAAAAAAGTTCAGAGAAGAGCAACTAAAATGATCAAAGGACTGGAGATCAAAATATATGAAGAACACTTGCAGGATTTGGGTTTGAGTAGTCTAGAGAAAAGAAGAGCTAGCATGATATGATAGCAGTATTCCAATATTTGAGGGACTGCCATAAAGAAGAGAGGGTCAAATTATTCTCCAGAGCACCAGAGGGCAGGACAAGAAACAATGGTTGGAAACTAATCAAAGAGAGAAACAACCTGGAATTAAGGAGAAACTTTCTAACAGCGAGAACAATTAACCACTGGAACAATTTGCCTTCAGCAACTGTGGGTGCTTCATCACTGGAGGTTTTTAAGAAGAGACTGGACAGCCACTTGTCTGAAATGTTATAGGGTCTCCTACTTGAGCAGGGGGCTCTACTCCTATTCTATTCTATTCTATTCTATTCTATTCTATTCTATTCTATTCTATTCTATTCTATTCTATTCTATTCTATTCTTCTCAGCTTTTCCCCTAGCTGTGGTGGGTAGAATGAGGGTGGGATTTCTTAAAAGATAGAGGTAAAATAGAATCCCAAGTGATGAAACATGGATCAGGGAGGTCTCCTCATCTGATTCATATTTTATTTATTCAAGTTTAGAATCCTGGTATGACTACAGCACCAGTGCTGCTAATATGATTTTGAGATATTATTATTCTATGTGATAATTGGTACTGGAGAATGTTAAGGTAGCTATGGATTTATTAATGACCAATTATGTTAATTAGCACACTGAAGTCAGTTTTATTTTGGTGTACAAATCTCTTGGGAGATACATAATAGATATTAGTAAACATTCAGAATAGAAACTTCTTAAACTGTAGATAGCTTCTCACTATATGAAAATTAGGTCAATAATAGGAAAATGAACATTGTCAAAATCATTTCAAGTCACTGAATAAAAGAAATAAATTGTAACATTTCTAAATATCTTTTTTAAAAAAGTATTAAGGATTATTTTTGAAAATGTGTGTTCAATTTTTTTTTTAAAAATACCAAGTTGTCACAGTTCATAGCTATAATAAGTTGTTTCTCATTTTTTGTCCTGGAGGGAATGTAGTTTTTACTTAATCAGATACTGCTTCTTCAAACTGAGCTATCACTTTCCTTCTGATTATTGGAGGAGGGGAGTTATTATTTTGTTCTGCTAATGTCTAATTTCTTTTGATTAAAAATATTTTACAGTGAGATTATCATGTATAATATCACCTGGTGAATATTACGGCAAGATTTATGTTGTAAGTAAACTTCTATCTTTCTTCTATTTAATTGTATACCATTAAATACATGTTAAGGAATATAGTGTTTATGTATTAGTTTTAATGCTTATTGTGCTATTTTCCTTGCTAGGGTAAATGAAGAAAGTATTTCTTTCTTTCTGTCACATAAACATATATACATACACACACAGAAAGAGAGATAATTTACAAGGGGGAAATTTCTGCCATCAAGATTTCCATGTAAAAGATATAGAAATTTATTGTTATATTTATTTGCTAGAGTTATATTGCTTTTCCTCTACAAGAATAAGGCCCCACACAGAACATATCCACCGATTCTCCAACACTACCACAACACTGTATGTCTGGCAAGAGATTGTGCCTGGTACAAATACTCCCTGTAGTCTTCCATGGTTGAAAGTGGATTTGTAAAGGTTTTTCCTAATCCTAGGTAGTCCTTTTAAATTAACAGAACTGGAACGAGGACAGAAAAAAAAATGTAAGGATAGTAGTTGGTTCTTGACTACAGATAAGTGGAAACTGATAGAATGTACTCTCATATTCTCATCCTAAATCTAGGTATTCCATGCTCTGATCCTGTTTATATTCTCCATGCTTTTATGTTTTATCTAATTGTGTCTCCCTCCTCTGTTTACTTGCAGTTATGTTGGCTTTATCATAAATGAAACATGGAGAATCAAACTATAGTATGTTACTTTCTGCTCCTGGAATTTTCAAAAAATCAGCATCTGCAGCTTTTGCATTTCTTCTTCTTCTGTGTGTTATATCTGGCAACTGTAACAACAAATCTTCTTATCATTTTTGCAGTTGCTTTTGACCATCGACTGCACAGCCCCATGTACTTCTTTCTCATGAATTTGGCTCTGCAAGACCTGGGCATTGTTTCTGTCATTGTCCCCAAATCCATGATCAATTCTCTCATGAACAACAGATGCATCTCTTATGTTGGCTGTGTTGCTCAAGTCTTCCTCTTTGTTTCTTTTGCAGCTTCTGATTTCTTCCTTCTCACAGTCATGGCATATGATCGGTATGTTGCCATTTGCCATCCATTACATTATCACATAATGATGAATTGGAAAGCCAGCACTGAAATAATGATATTTGTATGGGTTTCAGGTTTTCTCTGTGGAATCTTGCACACAACTGGTACTTTTTCAGTTCTGTTTTGTACTAATGTGATCAACCAATTCTTTTGTGAAGTTCCACAATTGCTAAAACTATCCTGCTATGGCTTCAATCAATTTGAAATTGGAGTTCTCGTGGCCATTATCTTAGTTGGACTAGGTTGTTTTATTTTTATTATTGTATCTTATGCTATGATTTTCAAGGCAGTGTTAATAATTCCTTCTGAACAAGGAAGGCAGAAAGCTTTATCCACTTGTATTCCACATCTTATTGTAGTGTCTATGTTGTTATTAAGTGGATGCTTTGCCTATATCAGAACTCCTTCTAACACCCCTTCTTACTTAGATTTTGGGTTGACTGTATTGTATTCGCTTCTTCCACCTCTGTTCAATCCAATCATCTATAGTATGAGAAATAAGAATATAAAATTTGTCCTTTCTAAACTCTGGAGTTTCTGATTTTTTTTAAAAATGTTGTTTCTATTCCTTTCACCACAGTTTTGCATTTTCCTAATTTTTCCTTTACTTCTCTAAATAGAGGAACGAGCTAGAAAAGGAGACATAGTTGGGATGTATTCAAGTCCAGTATTCCAATCCAAAACAATTTTAGAACTTGAGAATTTGTTCAGCAAACTTTCTGCATTCCTAATTACTATTAATGCATTTTACAGATGCTATATGTCAGGCATGTCAAACTCGTGATGTCATGTGACGTCGTATGATGTATTGAGCTTTTTCTCCATTGCGGGCAATGGGGTGGATGTAGTTTTGGGATGACATGTCTGGTCCGTGGGCCGGCAGTTTGATACCCCTGCTATATGTGGATTTAGGACAGCTCTAGCATGCCACAGATTTGGGTTCAGATTAAGTGAGCATGAGAGTGTAATCTTATTGTGGAAGATATTGGCAAGTAAGTTTAAATGAGGTGGCCTATTTTTTCCTGTTCTTTGTTGTCATAAATGAAACATTGAGAATCAAACCACAGTGCCTTATTTTCTGCATTTGGAATTCTCGAAAAATTGGCATATGCAGTTTTTGCATTTCTTCTCCTCCTTTCTTGTGTTATATGTGGCAACTGTAGCAACAAATCTTCTCACCATCTCTGCAGTAGCTTTTGACTATCAACTGTACAGTCCCATGTACTTCTTTCTCATGTGACCTCGCAGACTTGGGCACTGTTTTCAGTCATTGTCCATGATAAATTCTCTCATGGACAACAGATGCATCTCTTACATTGGTTGTATTGCTCTATTCTTTCTTTCTCTCCTTTGAAGGTTTTGATTTATCCTTCCTGACAGTCATGCATATGATCCTGTTGTGAGTTTCAGGTTTTCTCTGTGGAATTTTACATACAACTTGCAGTTTTTCAGTCTTGTTTTGTTCTAATGTTATCAACCAATTATTCTGTGAAATTCCACGATTGCTAAAGCCATCTTGCTATGACTTCAATCCACTTGAGGCTGGAGTTGTGGTGGCCTCTATCTTGGCTGGACTAGATTATTTTACTTTTATTATTGTATCTTATGCCATGATTTTAAAGGCAGTATTAAGAATCCCTTCTGAACAATATTTGACCTTTTTGACATTTGCAATTCTATTTTTTCTGATAATTGCTTTTTTGGTTTATCTGTAATTTTTTTAACTATCACTTTAGTTTTTTTCTCTATTTATCTTTAATCCTCCTATCTCTCCAAATTGTTCTATTTTTTCCAACAGTGTAGGAATCGTCTCTAAAGGTTCCTCTAAAATGAATACCAAATCATCTGCAAATTCTTGCAGTTTGTAGGTTTCACCTTTTATTTTCAATCCTTTAATTTCTGGATCTTGTCTAATGTTTCTATTTAAAACTTCCAAAGTTAAGATAAATAGCAATGGGGATAATGGACATCCTTGTCTTGTGCCTTTTCATATATCAAAATTCTCTGTGTAATCCCCATTTACAATTACTTTTGCTGTTTGTTTCTAATATATTGTCTGAATCATATTTATAAAGTTTTGACCAAGGTCCATTGTTTTTAGTTGTTGAATCATAAACTGCCTTTATAATATTCCAAGGTATCTAGTATTACTGTCAAATTATTTTTTATTTGTCTCTTTGGCAAAAATCCATTTTGATCTGGGTGTATAAATTCAGTCAAAAATCTTTTCAGCCTCTCAGCTATAATTGAAGTGAAGATTTTATGTCCACATTCAGTAGTGATATCGATCTATAGCTTTTGATCCGGGTCAAAACTGAGACCTCTTTTGGTATCAAAGTAACAATATTTCTGTCCATGTATTTGGGAGTTTTGCCTCCAATAGAAGTTCATTACATATATTTTTCAATGGCGAACTTAATATATCTTGTAAACATTTATAAAACACTGCCGAGAGTCCATCTGGTCCTGGTGTTTTTTCATTTTTTTGTCTTTTTATTGCCTCTGTCAATTCCATCATTATTATTTTTTCATTTAACATAGTCTTAAAGTTTTCTGGAATTTTTGGTAAATTATTTTCTTCCATATATTGAGTCATTTTCTCCCATGGAATTTCTTACTTGTCATATAGCTTCTCATAGTATTTTATTTCTTCATTTTTAAATTGTAAACAGCCTTTTTTAATCTACTACATTGTTTATCAATTTTTCTCCTTCTGTTTTTTAAATTTATAAGCTAACCCTCTTTCTGATTTGTTTGCATTTTCAAAAAAGTTTTGCTTTGCTCTTTTAATTTGTTGTGCCAATTGTTCTGCTTCTATTAAATTTAATTTATGTTTTATTATTTCTATTTGTCTTTTCAATATTTTCTTTTGTAGGTTTATTTGGAGTTCAAGTTCTAATTTTTTAAATTCTTCTCTTAACAACTGACATTGTTGTCTCTTTTCTTTATCTTTTTTCTCTGTGTATGTTATTGCTACGCCTCAAAAATATGCTTTGACTGAATCCCATGCATTTGGTAATGTTGTATCTTCTTTTTTATTTTCTTTGAAGAAAAATTCCATTTCTTTTGTTGCTAAATCTATAAATTCTTTCTCTTTTAATATAGATTGATTCAAAGTCCATCTTAATTTTTTCTGCATTCCTTTCCCCACCATTTTAAGGGGTTATGATCTGCCCAAGTACCTAATTCTATTTCAATTCCCTGCATATTTACCCTTAATTCAGGGGTCATCCAATTCATATCAGTTCTGGACCAAGATTTATGACTATTAGAATAAAATGTGTATTGTGATTTTCCTGGGTTCCTTTCTCTCCAGATATCTTGTATACCAATTTCCTCTAACATATTGAAAAAAGTCTTAGGTAATCTTTTTCTTCCTTGTTTCCCTGATTTACTGCTTTTATAGTCTAAAGTCCCATCTACTATTGCACTGAAACCCCCAATTACGCATATATTTTGATATTCCATTTCTACTATTTTTCTGTGAAGATTTTGATAAAATTCTTCTTGTTTATTATTTGGTGCATATATTGCTATCAAAAATATCTGTTTTTGATTTAAAAATATTTCTACCATTAATATTCTCCCTTCTTCATCTGCATAAATCATTTTGGAATCTATTGTCTCTTTGACATATATAACTACTCCTCATTTTTTTTGTTGAGCTGATGTATAATAAAGTTTTCCAAGTTTTGGATTTTCCAAAAATGTATGATGTTTTTTATGTGTGTCTCTTGCGAACAAATTATATCAATGTTTAATTTCTGTAGTTGTTTGAAAATTCTTTTCCTTTTTTTATTAAAAGTTTTACAAATTTACTACAATATAAACCCCTCCCCCCCTTCCCCTCCCCCCTCCCCCACTTCCCAGAACTGATTTCAGGATAACAAATAAACAAACATAATCTAACTAACATAAACCAACTATACTATCAATCAAATAACATACTTTAACTCCTTTTCAAAACAAATATTAACAAATTAAAACAATAATAATAATATAATTTAAACTATTAATGATTATCTAAAATCTACACATATGCAAGATAATACTTTTCAGTTTTATAATTCTTTTGAATGTAATCAATCCATCTTCTCCAAACCATAATATATTTTTCTTGTGATTGATCCTTTAAGTAGGCAGAGATTTTCGCCATTTCTGCTAAATTAGACACCTTAAGTATCCATTCTTCCAAGGTAGGCAGTGAGTTTTTCTTCCAGTATTGCCCCACCAATAATCTTGCAGCTGTTATAAGATTCAACATCAAACTAATTTCTTTAACATCAAAATCTACAATAATACCCAACAAAAATAATTGTGGAGTAAACTTTATCTTTCTCTTAAAAACCTTTTGAATATTCCACCAAATCTTAATCCAAAAAGCTTTAATATCTCTACAAGTCCACCAAATGTGAAAATAGGTTGCATCTAAATTTTCACATCTCCAACATTTGGGCTGTAAATTCGGATACATGTGGGGCAACTTTTGGGGATCCAAATGCCATCTATAAAACATTTTATAAAAATTTTCTCTTAAATTGTGCGTTTGAGTAAATTTTACATTTCTAACCCAAATTGTCTCCCATGTATCCAATAAAATTGGTTCTTGAATATTTTGAGCCCATTTAACCGTACAATTTTTAACTAACTCCATTTCAGAATCCAATTCTATTAAATCATCATAAATTCTCTTTATATGAGCTCAACTTTGATCTTTAATCTGTTTTACCAAATTCACATCCTCTAAAGTAATACCAACCTTTTGATCTAAACTCCACCTCACTAACAATTGATTATAATAAAACCAAGAATATACAATGTTTTCTTGCTTCAACTCAGTTAAAGGATTTAATTGACAATGCTGCCCAACCGAACTAAATAGTTCCTTATAAGAAATCTTTTTCAAATTTACTTCCCTAGATACTCCCTCTATCATGTGTCCAGGAATCCCCCAAATTGGAATTTTATAATATAACCTATAATAATATTTCTTCCAGACACGCAACAAGGCACTTCTCAAAATGTGGGTTTTAAAAACCTGATCAACTTTTTTATCATAAATCAAATACGCATGCCATCCATATAATAAATCCCATCCCTCAAGAGAAAGAATATTTTTATTTGTTAAGTTGAACCAATCACTAATCAGCGTTAAAGCCACCGCATCATAATACAATTTTAAATTAGGCGCCTTGAGTCCTCCTCTTTCCTGTGTGTCTTGTATAATTTTGAATTTAACTCTTGGCTTTTTCCCTGCCCAAATGAATTTGTTAATCCCCTTCTGCCATTCCCCCAATTCAATCCATTTATATTCACTGAAAAAAATCCATTTTCCTTCTCCATTTTGGTTTACTTATATGTAGGTCTTGTTGATCTCATAATTCTCTTCTCTTGTACTATTCTCTCATCTTCTTGAGTCATCTTTTCTTTTTCCTCTTCTACCTGTGTAATTGTTCTATTGTTTGTTCTGAGTGTTTCTGGCTTTTTCCATCCTCTTGTTGATATTGTGTTCTTTCTCCCAGAAATGCTCTATATCTTTCATCAAAATCCTCTGCCTTCCCCACTGAGTCCAAACAATATCTTGTGTTATTCCAATTGATTAAAATCCCTTCTGGCATCAGCCATCTAAAATTTACTCCTTTTGCAATCAGCTTTGTAGTCAAGAAATGATATTGTCTTCGAGTATCCTTTATTCTCTTGGGAATCTGTTTCAGCACTACTATTTCTTTATATTGTAATTGCTCATCTTTAACTTTTCTTAATATCTCATCCCTCATTGTTTTCTTCATAAATATTACATGGACTTCTTTGGGCAATTTGTGTTTCCTTGCATAACTTGAATTCATTCTAAATATTTCATCCACTTCTTGCTATATCTCCGGTCTTTCCATTTCTAGGGCCTCTGCTAATAGATTAATAATCACTTCTGCTATATGTTCCTCTTTATCTTCAGGTATGTTCTGGAATCTCAAATAGTGTACTGCCATTTTCAAAGCAGTGACCACTACTTCTAGGTTTTGGTTTGCTTGTTCTAATCTTTATTCTCTGCCATTAGTGCTTCAATTTTTTCTTCAGTATCTTTTGATTGATCTTCCACCTTCTGAATTCTTTGTTCATTTTTAAGGATCATTTGTTGGTGAACCTCAAATTGTGTCTTTATGTTAAGTATTTGTTTGTTTAGCTTATCAAGGTTGCTTTTTGTTTCTTGATGATTCTTCCACATCATTTCTTGCATTAATTGTAAGGTCACATGCATCTCTTTTTGTAGGTTGTTTGCCTTCTCTCATTGTAACATTGATTCAATAGATCCCTGACTCGCTGGAGTGGATGTTCCCGAAGAGGGTGCACAAACAGGTTTTTTTGTAATTTTAATGAGATTTGGTGTACTCATTATTCAATCAGGCAAATTTTGTAAATCCACAGGGATAAGAGAGAGAAAAAAGCCAACTGCTCTAGGCTATAATCAAACTTTTAAAAAGAGCCAACTATTTTAGGCTGTAATCCAAGTTTAAAAGGGAGCCAACTGCTCTAGGCTATAATCCAAATTTAAAAAGAAGCCAACTGCTTTAGGCTATAATCCAGGTTTAGAAAGGAGCCAACTGCTTTAGGCTATTCCAAGTTTTTTTTTTAAATCCAACTACTTTAAACTGTAATCCAGCAAAATAAAAAACACCAACTGCATAAGTCTAATCCAAATATTTCTGTCATTTCAAAAATATTAAAGAAAAAAGAAAACAGAAAAGAAAAGAAAAAATTGTCTCTAAATAGTTTCTATAATAGTTATGTCTAAAGTTGAAAGATGTAGTTAAAAATATTTGTTTTTTCTTTTGTAGAAACACAGGATGTTCTTTGTTTAGCACAGTTGTTGTTTCAAGGTCATCACTCTTCTGATTTTTTTTCTGTATTGTTG